CTTGTTAATATATATATATATATATATTGAAAAAATATTTGCATAATTTTTTTTTAAGCATGATTTGTTATTTAAACTGTAAAGCTAATTTTGAGATATTTTTGAGTAAACCAGCTTAAAACAAATATAAAGTTTTTCAGAAAATGATGGAAATTAAATTTCTCTGTAAAGGAAAAATGATAGTAATTTTTTATTAGAACCTTGTCTATATGCTTAAGGATTCCTAAACGTGTTGTATGTAAATTTGATAGATACATCATGTATGGTATAAACATTATGGTATTATAATATATTGTATGTACGGTATAAAATTGTTTGAATTTTAACCATTAATAATTTTTTTAATGAATTTAATAGACTGAATCAGAATGAAAGTTTCTAAAATAATACTTGTATGTAATAAATATGGACAGTATCAGGGCTCGAAAAACCACCTGTCCGCCCGTCCTCGGCGGTAAAAAATTCCCCGCAGACAACGAATTTCTCAAATCTGACGTCCGCGCGGACAGCCATTTTCCCATTAATGTTGGTGATACATTTCCAATTTTTGTTATCTTACAAGAGTCTAGCGCCTGACTTCTAAATTGACCCTCTAATCTAGAAATATGGCAACATACTGCGCATGGTGGAATTGATGTTTTCTCTGTCTGGGAGTACTGTGGCGGTTGAAGGAGACTTTTCAGCAATGAACTTACAAAAAAAAAGAAAAACATTATGTACTGGCCTTAAACAAGAAGCGTTAAACGCAATTATGAACATCTACTTAAATGGAAAACCCCTTTCAGAGTTTTGTGCAGAAACCTCTGTAAATCATTAGCTTGATTGTGGAACTGGCAAACGTCATATTTGATTCATTTAAAAAACGCAGAACCCACGGATAAATTGACATTCCAGATAACTTGACATTTGCCATTTAAATTATTTCATAAAAGAAATAAATTATTTTATAAGAGAAATACTGGGTTCCTATTAGTAACCTAGTATTCCTTTTTTTACTGTATAATGCAATCCTAGTATTTGTAATCCTAGTAACTACTAATTCATTGTGCAATTTATATAAATGTTTGTAATAAATAAGAGAAAATTATATATTTATTTATTTAGAAGCTACGGGTTAGTTTCAAAGGAGGACGGGTACATTGTTGGGCAAG